AAATTTTAAATATATGATAATGGTAACATCGAATCTGTCACTTCTTATAAACATTGAAAAGCTAGAGCAAGAAACCTAGCAGCTCTAGCATACGTTACTCTTCATACTCAAACCTAATAACCAAGTTCGAAATAGTTTGCAGAGCTATTATGAAATCCAGGAAGTAAATTTCGTAAAACCTCGTAATTAAATTTCGGGTGCTGAAACAAGGAACTTATTTAACGACATAACCTTATTTTCAAGTATTCCAAGGTGAACACTTCCACGCAATAAATTATCAATAAACCAATACAAATTTATCAATCACATTTTGCAAATATTTCTCATTCAACTAAACTACTGGACAAAATTAGCGGCACACTTTTTTAAATGCTCATAATTATGAGAGTTTTCAACCGATTTCGGTGAAAGTTCGTGAGGAATAGTCTTCAAGTGTCTTCTGGGTTAGGTCTGGGTTTTCTTATTGAAAAATACTTAATCTGAAAATTAAGAAAAATGTCCTAAGTAACATGAGTCCACGAAACATTTATTTTCGAGGTATATCCACTTTAACATACATCGGGTGGAGCAGAACTCGCGACGCACAGTAGAACTCAAATAGAGAATGATTCTCGTGCAAACGTTTTTTTCATACGGGACTTCATTTTCGAGAGAATTAATTTCGAAAATTCGGTGGCCGTGCTTATTACGACCAAATAGTAATCATTATGCGCGTATGTGTCAGAGATTTTATTCAATAACGATGCTGCGGTATTATCTGGATTAATTGGGTCTAATTAGTTCGATGAAGTACTGTTAATATCAGACCCACGTCGATGCTGCCAAACGCGAGTGGAAATAATGAGTTATGATCAGACACAAGCGCGCGTAAACAGGAAACGTGTCTGACCATTGCTCTCTGTTTCTACTTCATTCGCTAACAAGCAGAGGCTGTTTAGAATTTACTTCAAAGTAAAACTGATTTGTTTTGCACGTAATCTGTGCTATTTAGTGTACAGTACTGACTCATTAGTATTGCAAATTTATGAGTTATACTAATTCGGTGATGTATTTATTGATACTCTTTATATCAATGTTATAAGTGCAGTAACGTCAAAATTAAGTACAAAATCAGTGTTTAGTAAATAATTTTAAAAATATTGTTTTTCGATTGCAAGTGTCAGTAGCCTTGAATATTTTTAAAATATCTATATACTTTTATGAGAACGTGTGCGCGCTTACTTTTGAAGGATAAGTGACATTCTGCAAAATAAAGGGTATTTGAAAACGAACGTTGAAGAAGAGCTTGAAGAAGTTGAGAGATGCAATTTGCTCTGATTTTGTTTGAATTCTTTACTTCAATTACGGCTGATATCATTCTTAGTAAAAAAATTAAATACAAATGAAATTTATTTCATGTTGTCATACATTAATAGTTCAATATTTTATTGTAAGTGTACGTTGCTCGTAATCTTCTTCTTTCTTTCAAATTTTCCTCTGCTATTACCTGATTTTATATTATTTAAGGATCGACCTGAAGAGCATAATAGAATTCGCCGAAACGACGTCTTCTATCGATTCTGATAAATTGATTTCAGTTTATGGCTGCCTGAGGACCAAATATTTTTTTTCCCTTTTTAGAAACCACTCGGAACGAACCAACAACACTTTATTTTATTTCTTACTTTCTATTTAATGAAAAATAGAACCATATTTCGTTAATAGTAAATACTGATTTAAACATTTTTCTAGTTTCAGATTTCTGACAATCTTTTGGCTTTGAATAAAAATATACTTTAAAAACGTTAGTGAAAAATAACAAATTCTCGATAATTTTATTTTTAATTTTACCTCTTTGGACTAGGAAAACGAATGTAAGATAATGAATAATAAGGGAACGTATGCAATTGATTAAAAAGTAACACAAATGTTTACATCTCCAGTTTCAACGAATGTAATAAATTATCGTTGTCAGAGTTTTATTTCGAGACATTTAAAACTTCGATAATAGGAATGTCAATTACAGAAAAATGTTAAACTGTGATTATTCGTAATCATCAGTAATTTGAGTGCTTTCATAAAAAGACTATTGAACAATTGAATAATTGAACAATTTCAGAAAGTGAAAATACTGATAGTTGAAATCATTCGCATCATTAGGAGTCATGAACTTGCGATCATTTATACAAAATTAGGAACATTAAAATTGAAGTCAATTACAAAAGCAAGGATGTCACAGCTGTCTTTATATTTTAAAGACACTTTTTGAAAGTACAGAATATTAAATATATCATGATCCCTTTCAAAAATACCAAAACAATATTCTCCGTCAAAATAGAAGTGCAGAAAATTGTATTAGGATGTCAAAAGGTAGGGATGTCAAAGCTTACTTCACATTTTAAAGACAATTTTTGGAAATTAAGAATATTAAAACTTTCACGTATATCTTCAAAAATTCCAAAACAATATTTTCCATTAAAATAGGATTCCAGAAAATTGTGTAAGGATGCCAAAATGTAAAGATGTCAAAGCTTACTTTACACTTTAAAGACACTTTTTGAAAGTACGGAATATTTAAAAAAAAATGTGCTAATGCCCTTCTAAAATTCCAGAACAATATTTTCTATCAAAATAGAATTCCAGAAAATTGTGTAATGATGTCAAAGCTTATTTTACACTTTGAGGACTACTTTTGGAAATGAAGAATATTAAAACAAATTTCATTATACCCTTCAAAAATTTCAAAACAATCTTGTTCATTAAAATAGAATTCCAGAAAATTGTGTAAGGATGTCAAAATGTAAGGTTGTCAAAGCTTACTTTACACTATGAAGACATTTTTTCAAAATCAAGGAATATTTAAAAAATATATTACGAGGTCCTTAAAAAATTCCAAAACAGTATTACTTCACTTTGATTAAAAATTTACACAAATATTCGTCAGTTTTCGTAAATCTTTACATGTGAATTTATCAAGGTTAGACTTCGATACCTTCGATTGCTTCTTTGATAGTCTCCTTTATTTCTCTTAAGTATACTTAAGACATGATGTTTATAGGAATTTCTTTATTTCATTTTACCTCTTCAACCGTCTTCATAATGGAGACCATCTCCTTCTGTAGGATGCTGCACGTAGGAAATCCAAACTAATGATGACTTTTATTCCAGTATACCTTTGTCTGATCGATTCAGGATGTATGCAGTGTCTCGTGGCGCATTAGGGAAATCGTTAAACATAAGAGAAGAGCACGACATACTCCCCGGCACAATCGCAAGGTTTTCCGCTGTTTGAAAATAGGATAGCAAATGTACATTATCGCAGAAAATTGCGGAAACGAGGATTCCGAGAATTTAAAAAAAATAATCGACTGACTCTTATTCTCAGAAAGAAAACAAAAACAAGGAAAAGTGAACAATAAATTTTGAAAACTGATTGAACTTTTTCTATTTCTCCACTTTTCCTCGTGGAGAGATTAAAGTAGATTTCTTGTAATTTTGTTTGAAATTCTTATAAGGATATCGTAGATTTAATGACGTTGGAATGAAATCAAGTTTATTGGAAGCAGCGGTTTCCTGTGTCATCCATTACTACAATACTACTGGCTAATGGAGGCGACACCGATCCCATCGGGAATCCATAAATCTGCTTATAGAAAAAACCATTATATTTACAATAGGTAGATGATCAACTGTAAAAGTTTGAAAAATTCATCCGATGACCACGACCGTGATTACTCGAAATGCTGCAGTTTCTCGTACTTAGTTAAGGTTATATTAGCGAAGAATAATCGCTAGACTGCGGATTTTTATGCATTTATAGGAAATATGATTGTGCAAGAAACTACAAAATCCTCACAGTATGTGGTAATATAAAAAAACGTTGAAAGTAAAATTCATAGTATAATATTTGTAGGGTAGAAGGTTTAGGAAATAATAATTATTATTACACATTGTTTATACTGAAGAATATGAGTATTTACTAGCTTCAATTTTCTTTCGATTCATTTAACGTAGGTTTTCTAAGTATAATTAATTTACTTATTTAATTAACGAGGGTTTTTGGGTTTTTTGAGACTAAAGTATTTGATAAATCAACGTAAGTGTTTAATAAGAGGACCATTATAGTTCCTAAAGAAAGTTTGACAATACAGTCTAATGAAATTACTATTTTTATTTAATTTAGCTTGAATATTTACATTGAAGTTTGCTTAGTTTTATATTTTTAGTCTTAAAATAGGAACGAAACAGCTGAAATAATTTCAGAAAGTGAAAATACTGAAGTTGAAATGATTCGCATTATTAGGAGTCATGAGCTCGAGATCACTTATACAAAATTGGGAACATTAAAGTTGAAGTCAATTACAAAAGCAAGGATGTCAAAGCTTACTTTATATTTTAAGGGCAGTTTTTAAAAGTAAATAATATTTAAACATATATCACGATGCTCTTCAAAAATTCCAAAACAATATTTGTCATCATAATGGGATTCCAGAGAATTGTGTAAGGGTGTAAATAAATAATATTTAAACATATATCACGATGCTCTTCAAAAATTCCAAAACAATATTTTCTATCAAAATAGAATTCCAGAAAATTGTGTAATGATGTCAAAGCTTATTTTACACTTTAAGGACTACTTTTGGAAATGAAGAATATTAAAACAAATTTCATTATACCCTTCAAAAATTCTAAAACAATATTTTCTATTAAAATAGAATTCCAGAAAATTGTGTAAGGATGTCAAAGCTTACTTTACACTTTGAAAACTACTTTTAAAGGTACAGAATATTTAAAAAAAAATGTGCCAATGCCCTTCAAAAATTCCAATACAATATTATCCATCAAAATAGAATTCCAGAAAATTGTATGATGATGTCAGAATGTGAGGATGTTAAAACTTACTTTACATTTTAAAAACTACTTTTAGAAATGTAGAATATTAAAACAGATTTACGATGCGCTTCAAAAGTTCCAAATGAACATTTTCCATTGAAACAGGAGTGGATAAAATTGGTAAACGCAAATGAGCAATTGGGTAAAAACATGCAGAGGCGTCCTGTTCTCGGATTTCGCGGGCTAGAACAGCCCTTATCCACCTACGCAGGTGCGCGCTTCGAAGGCGCGCGGATCACCAGCCCCACCATGCACCACCATGCTCCACCATATACCAGACGTGTCTATAAAAGCACCCGACCTGCGTCCCAACGCCTTCGAGTTTACTCGTCGAGCCCTTCGATCGAGATCCTCCGCAGCCGGAGCGTGGAATTTCGAATTGGTGAACCCGTGCAACAGGACCTGTTACTTCCACGTAAATTTCTCTGTCGTCGTCCTCGATCTTCCTTCCACGTATCCGAAAGGTGAATAATAAACGCACCGAGGGGTTGTGACGGGGTGACCGGGCTGGTAAATCAAGTAGCCTTTGGAAACATTTTTTTTCAAGCCTGGTGTGTAATTTTCTTCGATGTTTATCTGTTATCTGAGCCCACATGCGTTAAATTAAAACCAGTGTTGAATTTATACTTCATTTTTTCGTATAAGTAGATCTTCAGGAAACGTTCCATTTGTTCTTAGCGAAGATTAGCATTGTGACACTCGGTATAATATCTTTTTTATTTAGCTGAAAGTCAAAATAATTTGTAGAATTTGACACATTTAAATTATGGTAATTTGATTAATTATCTCGGAATGATAGTAACTTTATTATTAATGTCATGCTTTCTCTATGTACATGAATGTTATTGTATAAGTGTGTTTTAGTATAGTATAAATTTTATCAGAAAAAGATTAATCTAAAAAAATTGGGCATTACATATCAGTCTTCAGAAGAAATGTTCAAATATTACTTCATTTTCCAGCTTATTATCCTGTGGTACCCCTTTATCACATTCAATTTTAACTTTCTCTATGACTGTGTTGACTATGACTGTTTATTTATGACTGTGTTAGTAGTTTGTAAATACTTGTAAATACTATAGAATTGTTTTGTAAGAAATAGTGAGAACTATTGGAATTTTATTTCCAACTGATAATTTTGTTTCTAAACAATTTGACTGTATCGTTTCCCCTTAAAAATCGAAGACCATTATAAAGTCTTACATTTGTATTCTCTTTCGATTTTTCCCCAAAAATTTAACATTTTATTTACCCTATACCAGCAAAAGTTTGTGGTTATTAAATTTATTTTCGTCAAAGGTGAATATCTTTATTTGTAAATATTATATTTATATTTGTACATCGTTTCTTTCATTTTTTACGTCGATTGTTACCTGTCACGTATGGCAGTCCCGCAAGAAAACTGACACGACTCCAAAAACGTCAACTTCACGTGACATCAAAATTCGTTTCATCGTGTATTTTTCAAAAGTTATTTGAACTCGATGGGACCGTGTCATATCGTGTGGAACGATCCGAAGTTGAACAATGAGTATTATGCATATGGAGTGTGCCATTTTAATTTTATTTAATATAGTCTATGAATTAAGCAAAAGAGTCGAATGATCTGAATGATACATATGCAACACTAGTGTACACTTTTTAAATATCAAATAAATAACACACGAAGTTATCATGTATATTATAAAAATGAATTGCATTAATTCCAGTCATCATTATTTCTTTTTTAAAGATTGCTTTCATGTCAAAATTAATTCTCAGCTAAATAAGTATTTTTTGTATTCTAATGTAGAGTGGTCAGCATCAATTTTGAATAACAATCATTTTCTACCTGTCAATTTTAATTTCTACCTGCCACATATGCAACACTAGTCTACACTTTTTAAACATTAAATAAATAAAACACGAAGTTATCATGTATATTAAAAAAATGAATTGCATTAATTCCAGTCATCATTATTTCTTTTTTAAAGATTGCTTTCATGTCAAAATTAATTCTCTGCTAATCAAGTATTTTTCAATATAATATATACACTGATTAGCATCAATTTTGAATAACAATAATTTTCAACCTGTCAAATTTTAATATCTAAACTTTTTTTCTGACTGTCATTTTTTATTCTTTTACATCTGGTACAACTGTTTCGAGACATACATTACCTGATCCTTCTAGTATGGAAATTATGGCCAGTCCAACTCCTCTTTTATATCTGTGCTGAATTCTTCTTCCTTTCAAAATGAAAGCTTGAAAGGAAAAGCAACTTAAAAGATGAAACGAGATGTAATTCGAGGAGAGTGTGAAAATGTTTGTACTAGAATTGAGCATGCCTTCTTGAGTAGCTTCTGTAGGAAATGCATTTATTAGAAATGGAAGCGTACATTTTTTCATATTATTTTCGCGAAATTAAACTGAAGAAACACAGTCTTGTACGCGAGTCATTTCTTTGGACTTGATGTATTAAATATAATAATGATTATGACAGCGATGCACAAATTGCATAATTACGTAATCTTTATTTTAATGTTCAATATTCGCCTAAACATTGAATAAATTTTGAACGATTTGATAAAATTTGACGAAGTTATTACACGTTACGGTGTTGTCCATTGCTTTTAATAAACTTTAATCAAGCAAAAGCTAGTTTTACGCGTGTTACATTTTCTCCTCGTTCCACGAGATGCAAGGGTAAATTTACAAACTGATATCATTTTGAGAAAAAAAGATATATGATACTAAAGATTTAATTATTAAAAATTTAGTTTGAAACTTTTTCTCACATGCTCTTTTGACAGGTGGGAAATTATTGTTATTCAAAATTGATGCTGACCACTATATTAAAATACAAAAAATACTTACTTAGCTGAGCATTAATTTTGACATGAAAGCAATCTTTAAAAAAGAAATAATGATGACTGGAATTAATGCAATTCATTTTTTTAATATACATGATAACTTCGTGTTTTATTTATTTGATATTTAAGAAGTGTAGACTAGTGTTACATATGTGGCAGATAGAAATTAAAATTGATAATTGAATAACAAATTACTGTTATTTAAAATTGATGCTGACCACTCTATATTATATTAAAAAATACTTAATTAGGATAGAATAAACTTTGCACTTTCCATTACGAATTTAGTAACATTTGATAATTTTGATACAAATAGGTCAGGTATTGGTTTGATTAAAGTTTACTTTTCATGGAAAAAATACAGCGAACCGGAAATTAATATATCGAAGCTAACCGAAGCCGTCATACCTTTTACATCTTTGCACATCGTAAAAGCACATTTTATATAGCTTCTACGTTATAAATTGTTCGGTCAACGATAACTGTCTCTTTTATTTTCTATTTATTAAATCAGCCGATGATATCAATAATTAAAAAAAAAAAACATACAGGAATATTAAAATTTACTTACATGGAAAATTCATCGACATTTTATCGTATTTCTTTGTTTAGTATTATTAAATATGTCATACATATGCTCTCATTGCGAAATTAATAAATCATTTTATAAATTTGTTTAATGTTGACGCAGAACGCGATTGGTCACATGGCGAACACTTCGGAAACCTCAGTGACGATTTACATACGCACTTGGTCTTTCATGATACTCTTCTGCTTCGCTGGCTGCGCAGCTGGTATGTATACAAATTTTAATTGTCCTTAACTTCACTTGTCTCCCAACCCTTTGTTGTTCAACACATTTTTGTCGAGTCTCACTTGACATACGAGCGCAAAGGGTTGATTGCTAGTACCACTGACACGGATACAGACAAATTATTTTTTAATGTTCATTAAAACTATCTACATACCTTTAATTTTTTAATGTAAATCTTCTACTGTTGTAAAATTACAAATGGTTCGATTGAAGTCGTGTTTGGATTCGGATTTATAAATAATAAAGAAATTAACTTTCTAGTTTAAGTAAATTGTATATACTCCTTGTTTAATGTACGGACATACTCGCATCTACATTCGGACATCAACGCACTCGAAAAGTTATAATTGCGAGATTAACGAGTTCATTAATTTTTGACGCGATGACGCGCCTGGGTCTAATTAATGGATTTATATATTTCATTTATATAAACCTGGTGATAAGAAATTAATTGAAATTTTCCAATGCATTTTTGTGCAATATAATACTAATATATAAAATAATATTGTTTGTTTTCGAGGCAAAATTGTTATGCAATTTCTTTGTATTTTTGTTACGCGATGACACATTTGTTCTTATATAATTCATTTATATAAATTAGATAATAAGAAATAAGTTGAAATTTTGCACTGCATTTTTGTGCAATATAATGCAAATATATAAAATAATATTGTTCGTTTTAAAGACAAAATTATTATGCAATTTCTTTGTTTTTTTTATGCGATGACGCATTTGTTCTTATATATATCATTCATATAAAACAAGTAATAAGAAATAAAGTGAAATTTTGCAATGTATTTTTGTGCAAATAATGTTAATTTATAAAATAATATTGCTCTTATCAAGACAGAATTATTATGCAATGACTTCTCATTAATATAAAATTATTCCAGCCCTATATATTCCATACTTAAAATAAATATAATTAAACTACCTATTTGCAACATATTTCTTGGCACCTTTATAAATGAATAATCCGTTGAACTGATCTTTAGAATTAAAAATTAAGAGGTAGTAAATATGTCCGCTGTATCCCGTTCTCAAATTAAATAAACCCGTTATATCTTCCCAACAAGAAACGTTAACTTTCGATATAGCTGGTAATTAAGGATTAATGTCCACGGTGGTTGCGAAAGATAGACTTTCATTACACTTTGGCTTCCTGGGTGTAAATGACGGTGGAAAATGTTGCACTGACTTTTCCCGTGCACGTGTTTTCGAACTTTTATAAAAACGAATTACGAAAGTTAGAAAGGAACGGACAATTTTTATCCTTCGCGAGAAGAAAGCAGATACGATTGTCTCTAAAACATAACCCATGCTTTTACTTCCTACTTCTTGGTAATATTTCACGAGAAATAACAATCGTATCTCGATACGTTACATTTTCAATCGGGTATCGTTGAATTTTCTGAGGAGAAAGATAAATGGAAGAAATTATTCAATAGTGAAAATTGACATTTTTATGTGCTCTAGATTATCTTTATGAAATTGTTAATGACGAATGGAGAAGGTTTGCTTGAAGAAAATGAGTCCACTATCTACAAATCATTTTTTAATGTACATTACAAAACTATCTATACATTAATTTTTTTTTGTAAATCTTCTAATGTTGTCAAATTACAAATGGTTCGATTGAGATCGTGTTTGGATTTGTATTTATGGATAATGAAGAAATTAACTTTCTAGTTTAAGTAAATTATATATTCTTCTTTACATTTATATAATTTGTGGAAAATTTACTTAGCCAATAAATATGTAAGTCGCAACGAGAACAGTAATTTTACCAACAAGAAGACGCTTACTGGTTCGGTTGATTTCAATTATGGCCGTCGGCTTTGTGCCCAGAGAAGAACGACGCCCTTCGTTATGTCGAAATGTAAACAAATATGAAAAAGACTTCCGCAATTATTCCTACTTCCGAATGGAAGGTAATTACGTGCACTAAAATTGCGGCTTCGCCTTTCCCAGGATATAAACTTATTAAGCGCCTCATAGATTACCGAAGTTTAGCGAAATTTACCTAAACGTGGGATTATATGAGGAAAGAACGATCTGTGCGTTTATAACTATTAAATTTTGTTTCTTAATCACAGCAACCATTCTCCGCTCCTATCTTTAATTTCAAGTACAGTGAAAACGTATACCATAATAATACTCATCGTTAATAATTAAATTTCAATATCGAAACATACTGAACAAATTACTTAAAAGAATTTCTTGCGGATGAAATTTTTAAATTCGACAAATCAATTTTTTTTCAACTTATAAAGAATGTCAGAATTTTTTTTGAGAAATTTTGAGAAATTTTGAATTGAGAGAAAATATGTTTTCACGAAGAAAAGAATGAAGAGTTGGCTTTGGTAATTATGTGCATCGAGGATATTAATTAAATTTATTAAATCCTTGAAAATATAGACAGGGTTTTACTCAAATGTTGGAGGCCCTTAAGACGGGTGATTCGGAGGGTGATTTGGAACAACTTTTTCCTTAGCGAAAAAGTTGTCCGAGGCTTCGTTAAGGAGATATTAGCAGAAAACCTTGACCAATCAGAGCGCGCTGTTTATAGCGCGTAGCCTACGCTACTGTAGCTGTCTAGTGCGTAGATTATACTACTATGGCTGACTAGCGCGTAGACTATTCTACTGTGGCTGTCTATAGCGTAGCTTATTCTACTGTGGCTGTCAATAGCGCGTAGCCTACGCTACTGTGGCTGTCTAGCGCGTAGACTATTCTACTGTAACTGACTAGGACGTAGACTATGCTACTGTGGCTGTCTACAGCATAGCCTACGCTACTGTGACTGACTAGCGCATAGACTATGCTACTGTGGCTATCTATAGCGCATAGACTATGCTACTGTGGCTATCTATAGCGCATAGGCTACGCTGCTGCGACCGCTCCATCGCTATACTCGCGCTCTGATTGGTCGAGGTTTTCTGTTAATGTGTCCTTAACGAAGCCTTGCACAACATTTTTGCTAAGGAAAAAGTTGTTTCAAATCACCTCCCGAACCACCTCTTTCAAGGACCTCCAACATTGTTGGAACAAAACCTGTATATTGTCCATTTGTTTCCCAAGAATAGTGCAAATATACACTAACGATCAAAACTTAGCGAACAAATTTTTAAACGGTTCAAAAACATGGAAGTTTTCAACCGATTGGAATTAAACTCCGTGAGGAGTAGTTTTGTAGTGTCCTCTGGGCGTGTGTAAAATTGCATGGGCGAGGGTTGCAAGGGGAGGGTGTAGAAAAACGCCTCTTTGAAACAGGCCAGGAATGACGGAAGGGGTTGCATGGATCACATGTTCAACAGTCCAGGGCATCGGGCTGACACAGTTTTGATGTCTTTTTCCAGCGTGAATAGCAATAAAATACGAAAATGTCGATTTTTTTTTTTAAACTTGCTTCCAACTTTAGGCCCATCTGCAGGGTGAAGCTTTAATGCTTCTGAATGCCGGCTCACTTAGTAAGTGACACTTAACTACTCTTTCAAATCTGCTCCGATTTGACAACGAAAGCGTGATTGAGAAAATCTGAATTTTTGGGTATCTGTTAATAAAGCATTCGTGCATCTGGTACCATGAACGGCGTTGACGTGGGGTTGCTCATTCACGCTGCAGATGGGCCTGAAGTTGGGGTAGGTTTTCCCCCAAAAAAGACATTTTCGTATTTTATTGCTATTTACGCGGGAAAAAGACATCAAAATTGTATCAGCCCGATGCCCTGGACTGTTGGACATATGATCCATGCAACGAAATAACGTTCCAACCCTTACACTTGAGGGTGGACCACCCCTGCCTCTGCCCCCTCCCTTCAGCTCCGGGGGCAGTTTTCGAAACGGCACCTTTTCGGCATTCATCCTTAACGTATCGAGAACAAACATAGTGAATTTCATCGCCCTCTGATGCGTGGAAGTGTTTTTTTACGAAGGGGGTTGAAAATTTGCAAGCTGTTCCACCCCCCCAAAAGGCGCCTATAGGGAGCACGGTATGGATGATGGCATTTTCTAGATCAAGGGAGTCCAGAGAATGCATTGAATTCAAAATCGAGACCGTCGTCCAAAAATTGTGGATTTTAGAGGGGGTGGGAGGTTGTGGAGGATGCGTTGGTCCGAGAGGGATTTCACAGGGTGCATTTTCTAGAAGGTATCAAGGAGAGTCGCCCCAAAGGTTTTTTGTATTTTTCAACCCCTTCCGTCATCCCTGGCCTGTTTCAAAGAGGCGTTTTTCTACACCCTCCCCTTTAGAGCGCTGAATTAACCCCTTCGCATCAACCCTCGCTCATGTAACTTTACACACACCCAGAGGACACTGCAAAACTACTCCTCGCGGAGTTTAATTCCAATCGGTTGAAAACTTCCATGTTTTTAAACCGTTTAAAAATTTGTCCGCTAAGTTTTGATTGTAGTGTATAAATTACACAAATGTCCGATGACTGCCTTTAACAAACAATTAATGCTCTCCATGTTCCTGAATAGTATCTTCTCAAAGAACACTGGAATAACAATCTGAAACTTTGAGATAGAATTAAAACTATCACCTCCGAATTTAAAAAATCTTCACCCACTTTACGCAGGGCTCTTGACTTCATTTCATTCACTGAATTTTCACTGAATTCTAATATATATATATTGACTTTCAAAGGGTTAATTAGAACTTTGTTAATCATTTAATTCTATCATAAAACGGGTTACCACAAATAATCTATTTTTAGACCTGAAAGATCACGCGATAGAGTCCAAATATTTACACACTGGCTTAACACAATTTCCAAAATTGTTATTCTTAATTAAAAGGCTGGTCGAGAAATTGTTAATAAACGGGGCGTGTATAATAGAAAGGGCAGCTTTAGAAAGACTAACACGAGCAATAATAACGAGGTTCCTGGAACTTCATTAATGGGATCATCCGTGGTCTAGCGATCCCGGTTTCCATCGGGCGCGTTAAATTTTAATTGTATACACAAAATCTCCGTTT